AAACCAAAAAAAAAAAAAAAAAAAAAGGGAAAGAAACCTGTACCTGTATCCAACATGGATACAGAGAGATTTGTCACTGGAAAACACTACTGGAAAATTGTACTACCATCAATATTCATGATGTACATGTTTTCCTTTATGGTCATGTGCCAAAAATACTAGGTTGCAGGATGCATACTTTCTCTGGGGCTTAGTCATATAGCTGCAATAACTGTTCTAGAGGAAATACTAGTATGGAATGTCTATATTAATAAGAATATAGCTAATATTGACCAAAAGTTTTTCTATAATGTAAATTTTAGTGAAAGAAAGTTTCCTTCTTTGGGATACTGTAATTTATTTAAACAGCCATTCTTAAAGTTTTACATTATTTTTCACAGTAACTTTTTTGAAAAAGAAGTTTTTGTGATAGGGCATGTGCCGTTGCTGGAGAGACAGAAACAAAAAGACAGAAAGCAAAAATGAGCCCCCAGTGGGAATGGCCATGTGCAATTCCATCTTCTTCATTCTTTTGGGACTTTGGTCATGTGCACAAATGCTCGGAGTGTGAGTTTTTGTTGTTGTTGGTGGTGTTGTTTTTTTTTATAGAGATTTTTGCTATAGGGCATGCATGTACACCAAAGAAATAGACAAAAAGTGAGAATTCATCTTCTAGGGAAAATGACCACACTGCAATCCCTTCTCCATTTTCCACTCGGAGTTTTGGGCACACATACACATATGTGTTTGGCATAAGTTTTAAGCCACCGATTCTGGGTCTTGAACCATGGTTGACTACATGGAAGTCCAGTAATGTAACCATTATGTCATCTGCTGGTCCCCAGTGGGAGGTTTTTTTTTTTTTTTTTTCAGAAATTTTCAATGTAAAGTACATGTGCTTACCAGAGAGACAGAGACAGAGAGACAGAAAGTTGTGAAATCATCCCCTAGAGTGAATTGCCATGTTGGAATGTCTTCTCCATTCTCCTCTTTGGATTTTTGGTATGCATAAACAGGTTCCCATCTTGAGTTTAAGTCACTGGGTTTGAGATTCGAACCTTGGTCAACTATGTGAAAGTTCAACAAACTAACCATTACATCTTCTGGTGGTCCCCACAGTAACATTTTTACTAAGTCAATAGGGGATACACATTTTTATTAACCTAAGTTTAATATGTGTCTTTCATTTCTATCAATGAGTAAATTTGTGACTGCTCATTCAATAAGGTCTTTTTAGGCCATTCTCATGTGTAAGTGTCTCTTCTCCCACAAGAGAATCTTGGAATAAGCAACATCATTTGTCTGACCTACTTCATTCACCTTCTCTTCCAGCTATAATTTTAGAAACTGCTGTATTTATCCAGGGTTAAGGAAATGAATTCATTTTCGGTAAGTTGTTTACTGATCTCCCCACTTGTTTTACATTGTATTTAGAAATTTTATGAGGGTTCATAAATTAAAATGGAAGAATAAAAATAATAAAATTCAGCATGAGAAATGTATAAAAAAGCAAGATAAAATTGATATGGTGAAATAGGCAAGTTATCAGATCTTAGAGCCCTGTGAGATGAGTACAAATTGGTCTCTATTTTTTCTGATACCATGGGAAAAACACATTTATTACATGGTTTGAATTGACTTTAAGGGGGGAGCATGCTAAATTCTCAAGAGATATGAATCATGAGATAGTCTTTATTGGTCATAGATAATAGGTTTCACACAGAGGATAGTGTTTCCCAGCTAACCTGAAAATGAACACTCAGTGTTCTACAGTGGTAACTGTTACTGATTGCTAAAGCACAAACCAGTCAGTAACTTTTTCTAGAGTTACTTGTATAGCATGGTCCCAGACAACTCCTACAAGTATCCCCTTGATTCATAGTTCAAACCTGGAATGTGTGGCAGGAATCTACTACAGGTTCCTAAAGAACTCTCCATAAATTTCTCTCAGCTAGTGTGTATGTGCTGATTATGCCACGAACTGCCCAAAATTATATTTCTTGACCAATATAGTAATCCACTGCATAACAGCATTTCAGTGATGTACTATATGTATGAATGTGGTCCAAGAAGATTATAATGAAGCCCCCAAATTTCTGTAACCTAG